GGTTGTGTCAGTCTTTTTGGCCAATTCCACTGGATTTCTGGACCTAGAAGGGTGCGCAAGGGGCATGTGCTTCCCCATGCTGAACTGCAGCTGCAGTGCCTGATAACGGACTTGCTCGGGTGGGGATCACCCATGGATGTGTACCCAACTTTTGTGTCATTCCTGCCCAAATCCTGCATCAGGCTCTGAGCCTGAAGTAGAGCCAGTGGAAACAGAAGGGCTTGGCACATCCAGGAGGCTTTGGAGGGCAGGAAGGGCCGAAGCGACTCTATCCCAGGGGTCAGAGCCAGCATCCACGGTCTGCAACCAAGGTCACCTTGGCAGGTAACGTCTTTCCAGCTGGCGTTGATGCTGTCTCAGGCTGACGACATACCTTGTGTCTTCCTTCCCCTCTCTCCCAGGAGGCCTTGCGGTACCACAACCAGACATCCGCGCAGAAGAAACTCTTGGAGTTTGCCAGGCAGTACCTCCAGTCGGATGATGAGGTGAGGGGGGCGGGTCAGAGGACATCACTGGCGGGGGGGCACTTGGAGGAGAGAACTGGGGGAAATCAGGTTCGGGTCCCCCATTCACCCATGAAGCTGGTTGGGTGATCTGTCACTGATTATCAGCTGAACCAGCCACTGAGTGTCGTTGTGGAGGATAAAATGGCAACCCCCCTGGTTCTTCCGGGAGGACAGGTGAAGTAGTCAAGTAACGTTTATTATGATCTGAGATCAGAAAATTCATAACATTCCGATGGTTACGTAACATTAATTACATTCGTTAAAATTAGATACATGTTGTAACTGTAAACATAAACTACTAGGAAAAAGGCCCGTTGTGGAAATAAATACAACGGCCTCTAGAAAGAGGCTCTGGGTGGGTGCCCCGGCCTTGGACACTCAGTGTCAATTTGCTGTGGCGATCTCAGCAGGGTGTAATGACACTGAGTCCACCAATTTCGCCAGAGGAACTGATCTCTGCTACCTAAAGAACAGTTATAATTTTGAGTGATCTCCAGTCCTCATTTGGAGATTGGCAACGATGATTCCCCAGAAGGGAATGGTTGGTTTGGAGGGTGGAGTCTATGGCTTTGTACCTGTCCGAGGTCCCACGCCTCCTGAAACCTCACCCTCTCCAGGCTCCATCCCTCACATCTCCAGGAATTTCCCACCTGGAGTTGTCAACCCTTCCCAGCCAATCATCAACCTACCTTTATTTCCCCCTCACTCTTCAGCTTTCCACCCCGCACACCCCACACCTGCACCCTCTCCCATGCTCTAAAGCCTGGACTGCTACATCACATTGGCTGTCATACAGGGGCCACCTCAGCAGCATATAAGGATACAGAGCCCACCATTTTCTCCAGGGGAACTGATCTCTGCCATCTGGAAAGCAGTTGTAATTCTGAGTGATCTCCAGCCCTCACCTGGAGACTGGACGCCAGGGCGCCAACCAATTCAGGAGCGTGTGGAATGTTCTAGAGAAGTGCCACCACCATTCGGCTTTTATATATAAGGGAGATTATGCTAGTTAAAATTTGTTAAAATGTACCCTATCCTTGTATCTGATTCTGCGGGCCTGAGCAGAAATCTCCTGCTTTAAATATAATATCCTTATGAATTACTATGAATTTTCTTATTCTTATAACAGTCATCGACCAATGACACACACAAGTCTATCGGTACTAAAACCTACAAATCTATCAAGAGATACTACCGTTAAAACACCTCCATATTAAAAAGCATTGTTCCAATATAAATAGTGTTTTGATATATGGGAATCAACCTTTGGTAATAGCGCCACTAAGACTGCACCGCGAAAGAAGCTTCCTATAATTTAAAACTGTACTTCTGTTTGATTACTTGGGCGCAAAATCTAGCTGTCACTCTGGTGATTGTTGGTATTTTATCTGCCAACAATTTCCCCACAATCATCTTGTTAGTTCGCCCCTAACTGGCTTCAAAATAGGGAGGATTGTCTTGTCCCTAGCTTCTTTATAGAAGGGACAATGGATAAAAATATGATCTTCGACGTGGTCTCTGTGCTTCACACCCATGGGATCTAGTGTGCACGCGCTGGATCGATCGGCATTGTAGCAAGCTCTTAACGGATTTTCGCACCCAGACCTCGGGCATGCGCAGGAACCCCACCGCGCATGCCCAGAGGGGTGGGCACGAACATCCCTCCAATTCCTTTCTTACCGCTGCGTTAGAAAGACCTTTTCTTCGTCGGTCCGATCGGTTCTCTTTTTTGGCTATTTGCCTCACGGCTCTTCGGATTATTTTCTTCAGTTTTCTTCTTTTTTCTTAGCCTTTCTTCATTTGTTCTTCAAAAAAAAAATTAAAAAATTGTTTTTTGTTGAGGGGAAAGTTGCCGGTTTACCTCAGTTTAGCCTTCGGGCTCCCCCCCCCCAAAAGCCCCTTCTTTCTTCTCCCTTTTAAAATTTTTATGGAGAAGAAGTGGGGCTTTTTCAACCGCTGCAGGGGTTGCAGCAGTAAACTAGCTCCACCTGACCGCCACATCCTGTGTATTTTTTGTTTGGGGGAGTCCCACCAACCTGAGTCTTGTCGGCACTGTGCTAGGTTTTCGAACCAGACACGAAAAAACCAAGCTGTGTGCCTTAAAGTGGCGCTTCTTGAGTCGGCATTACATCCTCCCTCAGTGATGGAGTCCGAGAGACCATCGACATTGACGGCTCCAGCATCGAGGCCTGCCTCCGACATCGCCCAACCGACATCAAAGCCACTGGCATCAAAGGTGCAATCCTCCGCTTCCACGCCAGTGAAGAAGAAGTCCAAGTCAAGTAAGGAGCTTAAGTCCGCAAAAAAGGGCTCTAAGTCCCTAAAGGCAGCAAAGAAGGGGAAGGTAGTGGTGTCTGCACTGGGTGATGCCCCTAAAGTGCCCCCCGCTCCAACAGTAGTATCGGCATCGGAGGCTCATCCCACTCCACCAATACCGACCATTCAGCTCCTGGACTCCCCTATACAACAACTGGAGCATCCTTACTCTGATATCGAGACAGTGGAGAAGGATGCAGAGCCTTCCCCCTCTCCTTCTCTGTCCTCGACATATCAACGGCGTCAGAGGCTTCCGACATCGATTCACATCGGAATCAACATGCCTCTAGCAGCACACAGCGTCACCCTCCACATCTGCTTCTACGTCTGCTTGTCGAACCTGTCGATATTGATGACCGAGTTTATAGGGACTGCTCTCAAGGGCATGTTTTGTCCCCGAGACGTACCCGATCCAGACGTCAATCCCCCTGAGTCTTTCTCCCACCACCACCACCTCTGTCTTGAGATCAACGCCAACTGAGGTATCTCTATGGGGGCTATCCACCATCCATGCCCTGGTTGACTCCGGCGGGCTATTCCGACTGGGATCGTTACTCGACCCACTCTGCTCACAGATCACGGTCACCCTACAGATCTAGACCTTCAGCATCTCTGTCTCATCCTCCGGCCGATGACCCTTCCCACCATAATCTGGAACTCAGTCGTCCTCCCAACCCCCAAGTTGTTCCACCAAAGATTATAACAAGTCAAACGGAAGTCACTCCGGTTCAAATGCCAGATCAGGGCTCCTCTGATTCTGCAGAAGAGGATTCTGATATGGAAGCCTCTGAGGTCAACACCTCTCCTGACCTCAAGTCTCCTAACCAAACTGTTGCAGATGATCTACCTATATCCCCATCTGACAATCTCACTTCCTTTGCAGACCTTGTCAAGAGAATGGCCCATTCTTTAGGCCTCTCAGTCGTACAACAACAACCACAGGTTACAGATGCCGTTTTCGATATCGTGCAACTGGATACCTCCACTACCATAGCACTGCCCATGTCTACGGTCCTTTTACAAGCTACGAAAGCACCATGGGAGAAACCTTCCTCAGCCCCAGTGTCAACACGATGCCTGGATCACATGTATAGAGTACAGGAGACTGGAGCCGAATTTTTGTTCTCCCACCCTCAGCCAAATTCGATGGTTGTAACATCCTCGTCCAAATCAAAACGAACACACTCTGCACCTTCTGACAGGGCAAGTAGAAAATTAGGCGTGTTTGGAAGACGCTTTTACTCCACGGGAGCGTTGGGAATAAAAACAACAAATTACTTAGCCTGCATGAGCAGGTATCAATACGCTCTGTGGGAAAGGTTTTCTGAACTCCTGACTCATCTCCCCAAAGACAAGCTTCAGGCAGCCAGAGTTATTCAGAAGGAAGGCATGGTACTTGCGAAGCAACAGATCAGTACTTCAAAACAGGCCCTAGATGCTTCCTCAAGAACAGTGGCCTCAGCAATAGCTCTAAGACGGCATTCC